GGGCGCGGCGCGGGAGCCGTCCGGGGGCAGCAGCGGCAGCGAGGCGGCGCCGCAGGACGGTAAGTGCGCGCGGGCGCGAGGCTGCCAGGACCGCGACGTGGGACCAGAGAGAGAGGTCGTGGGAACGGAAATGCGGGGCCAAAGGTGTGCGGGCGCCGGAGTGGGCAGAGGAGGCGCGGGCCGGCAGGGCCAGAGAGGCCCGAGGCCCGAGGGGCGCCAGTAGGGCAGGCAGGAGACGCCGGCGCTCAGTCTGCGGGACCCAGGGTAGGGGTGGAGTGGGCGGCGGGGAGGCCGCCCAGCCAAGGGGGCGTCGGAGGAGACGCAGCGGCAGGACCTCCCCGGGGTACCGCCCGGCCATAGAAGGGCACTGGGCGCTGCCGCTGGCGTGAGTGGGTGCTCCACGGCCACAGAACGGCTGCCAGTGACGGCGTAGGTTGCGGTCGACTAGGGCTATTTACCGGGCGAGGGGACCTTCTTTTGGCCAGAGTCCTCAGACGTGTAACTGGCTACCCCTGAGGGCGTGGGCCGCCTGTGTGCCCAGCCCTCACCTACCTCCCAAACAGCCTGGCCAGTGGGTGTGATTATTGACATGTTACAGATGGGGAAACTGAGGCTTCAGAGTGGCAAAGCGACTTGACACGCGTCAGACTGCTGGCGTTCAAAGTCTGTGCTCCCCCCAGCTCCTACTAGGTCTTCTTTAGATGCATTCTTTGGCTAAGTGGGGACGCCTGCCCCCATCCCCCAAGCTTGCCCCCACAGAGCAGCTTCCTAAGCTGGGTGGCCCAGCCCTGAAGGCTCTGGCCTGAGCCAACCAGGCCTCTCCTCACCCTCCGAGGTTAAAGGTCTTTAGGAAGGGGCTTTGAAAACAAACAACCCACCCAAGTGGCTTTTTTAAAAAGTCACACAGAATCCTGAGCTCTTGGTAAGAAGGGGGCGGGGGGGTGGTGGTGGAGAGAGGGGAGGCAAGAGAAGATGGAGATAAAGCGAAGGTCCCAGCCAGCCCTGGACAATTGTGTGTGAGCGGGTGAGTGAGGGGAGGGGCATACAGAGTCCCTGAAGAGGGGGTGACACCTCATCCCAGCCAAAGAATCCATCTGAAGAGACTACTGCCCCTGTTCCCTTGCTCTGGGGAGTAGGCTTGTCTGCTGGAGGCTCTGGGACCTTCAAGACTCCAGCAGCCTTCCCACTGCCTCTAGGTACACCCATCCTGTCACCAGCCTCCAGGGCTCAGGGGTGCCCAGCTAGCTGTGTGCTCTGGTTTCTCAGATGAGAGAAGGTGCAAGGAAAGCTGGGGTGACTGCAGCTAGCCTTGTCTGAAACCTTGTCTGGGGGCGTGTGACTTTGCCGGGGGGGCGGGGGGGGCCAGGCTGATGCATACCTGCATTTCACTGTGTGCCTTCAGGAGCTCCTCCAGCCTGCGGTGTGTTTGCAGGGCTGTGTGGTGTGTTTGCAGGGCTGTGCGGGGCTGCCCATGTGCCTGAGGCAAAGGCCCTGGCTCCCTCACAGGGAACCACTGGGGCCAGCTAAGTGGTGTTCACTGCCTGCCAGCCCTGTGGACTGCCAACTCTCTTCACCCTCTGGAGTGAGCAGGAAGTGGGCAGATCTTCCTCTGGGAGTTGGGGTTTAGATCTCTGATAGGAAGGTGAAGGGTGTGACCAGGGATTAAAAACTAGCCACAGGCCAGTTGAGGAGCTCAGGTCTCTTGGGAGGAGCAGCTCTGAGTCAGCCTCTCCCCTGCCCGGGGCATAGACAGAGGTCTCTTATTTTACCTGGGTACATGGAGACCCTCTAGGGGCAGGGAGAGAAGGAGGAACAATTGAAGGTGAAGGGAAAGAAGGAAGGGAGACAAAAAAGAGAAAAGGGAGCGAGGGTGGGGCGGAGGAAAAGGAAGGAGAGGAAAGAAGAGCACCCAGAAGTGATGGGGAGAAAGGAAGGAGACCAAGGCGTTGTGTAGCCCTATCCTGGCCAGGGAGTGGGATGCCTGTTTCTGCCGTGGCCTCCAGCTGGGGAACCAGACAGTGGAAGGCCTTGCTTCTCCCCAACACAGTGCAGAATGGAAGATTTCCCCTGGAATCCCAGGACAGCTAGTATGAGCTGGGATGTGAGCGCCTGGGCTGTGCCACCCTCCATGAGAGCCTGTGAGGCCCACAGGCTTTTTCCTGAGGAGGGGCTTCAGCGCACTGGGAATACTCAAGTATAGCTGCGTTTGGGGACAAGGGACATGCCGTGTGTGGGGTCAGGTGGGGCGGGACCCGAGGGCAGCAGTCAGTCAGTGTGCACCCAGGGCAGGCATCTCCCCCACCACCCCGGCATCTGTGAGGGACATGGGGCCGGGGTCACTGAGGCACTCATAGGCTGGCTCCCACCTTGGAAACCCTGCGCAGACCTCGACTCTGAGGAGGTCCGAGCGACCACAGGTCCAGCTCAGTGCTCTTGGCCCCCAGGGAGATTTTCTCCAGGCCTCAGTAAATGACAAAAATGTGGACAATTTGGAGAGTTCATCATGAAGCTAAAAAGTCCAGTTTAAAGGATTCTCCTGTATTTGACAGTATATCTTTCCTACTTTTTAAAATGTTAAACCCCCTTTCTTTTATAAAATAACAGTGATACTCTCTGGATACCGTCTTATTTTAATGTCCTTACTTGGCAAAATTAAAAGGTGGTAATCCTATGCCCATTCCTCAAAGTAAAAAAAAAAAAAAAAAATCACTAGCCCATGAAATCCAAAAGCTATATGTAGAATCAAGCATCCCCCTAAAGCCAAATGGGAGTCTGCTGCCAAGCAGTGTTTCCTGGAGAGGGAGCTGGATGCTGTGTGGCTGCCCACCCCCCACCCCTGCCCTGTGAGAATCTCTCTCTCTGGGTCTGGCCTGAAAGGCAGGGGTGGAGGGAGGAGGATGCAGGGCAGACGTCCCATCCCTTTGCTGCTAACTGTGTATCCCCAAATCTTGAAGTCGGAGGAGAGTGATCCCACAGGCCACATCACCTTTCCAAAGCGGACAAACCAATCTCAGGGTTCAGGACTCCAGGCCAGCAGCATGGGCCTCAGGCTGGCAGTTCTGGAGTCCTGGACCTGCAGGAGCCCTGGCTCCTTGCAAGGATTCAGGCATGCTTGTAAGTGGGTCATCCTGTGGCTTCTGGGGCTGTTTTCTGAATCCAAAGAAAGAGACAGACACCAAAGAGAGATGGGGTGTGCCCTATTAGAGCTATAAGAATTCATGGGGAAATGAATGTGTTAGAAAATTGATGTGTTTTCAACCTGCAAGGTTAGCAGGCTCAAAATTTAAGAAAACAAAAATGTTTTTTTAAATCTTTTGTTTTCACAAAGCCACCTGGTAGACATGGCCTATTCCTGCCAATGACTTTCCCAGACCAGGCTCCCCCCGGAACTGGCCGGGAAGGCTGTGGCTTCATCGGTGACTCAGAACAAACCCGGGTCTCGGGTTCCTCCCAAATCAAACGCTGAGGTCTGATCTGGGGCGCTGAGCTATGCCAAGCACATTAGGAAAATAAACCCTCGTTTGCTGCCTTTGCGATGACTTACAACAAAAGAAACCACATTAATAACTGAGATTTTCTTTAAAGCATTCCCTCCTGTGGGCAGGGTGGAAACAGGGACCATGGACACACTGTGAAAATAAACAAAGCTCCCCGGAACCAGGCAGGGTGACACCCCCTGGCCGTTGTTCCGGGCTGGTACCTGTTTCGGAAAACATTAGGATGTGCGGCAGGCAGGATGGAGCGGATCCACTTTCCAGAGATTTGGGACAGTGGGTCTTTGGAGTCTAAGGCAAGGCTGAGTCGGGGGCAGCTGCAGCCCCGGGGCTGGGAGCTTGGGCTCCGGCCTTCACAGCAGCTGCTCTGTAAACGGAGGTGAGGGGAAGGGAAGAGTGAGTTTGGCTTGGGGGGTGGGACCTGCCCCTGCCCCTGCCCCCAGCTAGTGATGGGCGCACAGGGCCAGAGAGTCTAGAGTGGAGGGCCTAAGGGACTGTTGATTTTGAGAAACAGTCAGACCTGCCTTCAGTTTTTAACCCACCTCCACTGTATTGATTCTGAAAGGGGGCAGCAGCAACCTCTGAGGATGTCAAGGAGGCCAGGTAGGAGGAAGCTAAAAGTAGCAGGGCTGGTGGGGAAAGAGACAAAATGATTTCTTCAGACCCAGGCCTTTTAAAGAGGGGCTTGTTTTCCCTCCTTCCCTTCCTCTCTTCTTTCCCGTTTATCCTTTCCTGGTGGGGACAGAGTCGTCTGCAGTGAAGAAGCACTGGACTGGGAGTCAAGACACCCAGGTTTGGATCCTGGCTTTTGCTGCTATCTCCATGTGTGACCTTGGACATGTCACGTCCCTCTCAAGGTCACATAGTTCCCCACCTGCACAATGGGAGACAGTACACAGGAGTTAGTGAGGCCCCTCCTGATTCTGCTTTATGATTTGACCCAGGCTTAAAAAACGCCCATGGTGGGCCCTGTCTCCCAGGGAAGTGGAATGACTAAGGCCAGGGTCTTGGCTGCCTGGACCCTCTGATCGGTGAGGGTGATTTTCAGCAGATGCTGGGGGCAGGGAGAACCAAGGGGCGAGGGCAAGTGAGAGGCTGAGGAACCAGCCAGGAGGTGGGAGGCTTCAGTTTGAGAACTGCTGGGTCTCCTAGGGTGGGAGCCGGGGTGATGGTCTCTGTCTCTGGCTTTTTGTCAACAGGGAGGGCACTTGCTATGTAGCTTTTTGTTCATGGCTCTGTGGTGGCTTTGCTTCTGTATCTGATGGAATATCTGGGTAGAGCTTGGGGGCCTGGCACAGGGGCCTCAGACTGGCCAGGGCCCCACAAGAGCCCTTTCCTGTGGGCAGAAGCTCAACAGGGCTGGAGCTGTCACTGTCCCTTCCCAGAAGACCCTGGAAAAGTAACTTTGGAGCAGTAGTGATGGCGTCTGCACACACACTGCCCTTGAGACTAGAAAATGCCCTGAGGCTTAGTGTTGCCATCTGTGAAATGGGAATGAGGGATAGTGGTGCCCCCACAGAGGCGTGGTGAGTCCTGAGTGGATGTGAGGTGCCAGGCACTGTGCC